GAATCAGTCATATAGTCCTCAGGGGCTCCATGATGCCTACTAATGGCAGCACAAGTATGTTCATAGGGTAGCCTAGTCAAATCCCAACCTCTAAATGAACAAGAGTGGGCATTTAAATCAACAACAAGTGTCCTCCCACTTTAGTGCATTACCTGGAATATGTTGATTCCAGCAACCCTTAGAATGTACCACTGACCCTTTCCTTTCCTTTTTTCTAAAATACCTCTAATCCTTTGCCCCATTTGTTCATGCCACTTGTCACATCTAACCTTTCTTGTAGCCATCGATAGCATAATGTACAACCTAATTCTTTTTAACATAGCCAAAATTGGCTTGTCTCTTGCATTCAATATGCTTCTGTTGAAAGCCTCACATAAGTTATTCATAAGAATGTCACACTTGGAAGAGGTTTTGAAATATGCCCTACTCCAATTCCTAGGATCTTTTTCTGTTAACCAATTGTGGGCAGCTCCAAACATGTTCAACATCTTATTCATCTCTTCATTAAACTAAGGCACTATTGTGGTCCTTGTAATGGATTCCATTTGCTGCTTCAATGCAAGGCCTTTATGCTCCATCATAAAGTTTGCAAGCAAATGCTTTAAGCAGTGCCTATGCTCAGCATTAGGGAATAAAGCATGTATAGCATCAATGAGACCCTTTTGCTTGTCAGACATGAAGACATAACCATTATTGTTGGAAATATTCAAATCAGCAGCCAGAATTTCCAAAAACCACATGCAAGTATTGAAACTCTCAACTTCTACAACAACATATGCAATTGGATACATTCCGTTGTTTGCATCAATCCCAATTGCAGACAACAATTTCTCTCGATGAGGCCCCTTTATATGTCAACCATCTAAACATATTACACGCCTGCAACCTTCCAAAAAGCATTTCTTGCATGCACCAAGACATGTGTACAACCTCTGAAACTGCGGTCTATCACCATCTAATTCAGACTTAATGAGCACAGTGCTTCCAACATTTCTATTCCTTAACTCATTAGAGTAATCCCACAAAGATTCATACTGTTCAGTGTAATTTCCCTATACAATATCCATTGCTAAAGCCCTTGCTCAATACACAGTTGCTCTGGAAGGGGTGTAACCATAATCCAAGTGCACTTACTCTGCAAATGATGATGCAGTCCTATTTGGATTCATCCTTAATTGCCCAACATACCTTTCAGCTAACCACTTAGCAATCACATGTATATATTCTTACGACCTTGACTACATGCATGTTCAAATCTACATGTTTTCACTTGCAAGTATGTGCTTCTATTTATCTTGTGCTTCTATTTACCTTGGATGCATACACAATAAGTGGACATGGACTTTCACACACAACCCTTATTTTGTCTGAATCATTCTTCGTAAATTTCAACTCCCTTTCCTAATTGACGGAATGTCTCATCAAAACTTTTCGAAACAATGCAACAGTAGGAAACTTTAACCCAAGTGTGAATATTGGGTTCTCCATGTCAATTTCAGGCCTAAAATCCAAACTCTTTGGCATTCTTTTCATCTTCCTTCTTGCTTCAGCTAAAGCTTCATCTTCATCTGAAGATGTATTTTAGCCTATAAGTGCAACCTCATCCTCTCCAATGACATCTTTGTCATTATCTTCTTCAGCATTTGGATCTATATCAACAATGTTATCATCAACATAACCATCAAACTAGATATCATCCTTTGTATAATCAATAGTGTTAGCTTCCTCATCTTCAAACTGTGCATAATCATTTTGCACAAAGTCTAGATCAATTGCATCCTTATCCTTAAACGTAGAACTCTCACCAACCTCTTACACAATCACATCATCTTGCTCTAGCACATGCACATCATCTTGCTCTTGCACATGCACATCATCTTGCTTTTGCACAGGCACATCACCAAGCTCTTGCACATTCACATCACCAAACCCTTGCACATGCACATCACCAAGCTTTTGCAATTGTTCCTCTAATTATGTCACTTCATTTGAAGTTTCAACCTCATGATTCAAATAAAAAACAATAACCCTCTTATTTCTCTTAGGAACTATACGCATAAATCCTAATAGGCTATCATCGCATCCTATGTGAACAGCTTTCCTAATACGTGATAACCCTCTTATTTCTCTTAGGAACTATACGCATAAATCCTAATAGGCTATCATCACATCCTATGTGAACAGCTTTCCTAATACATGCAACAATACCATAGAATTCCGCACCGTCTTTATATCTCAAATCCTTAGCCATCGCTCATATCTCTAACATTGACATGTAGTTAGCCTCACAATAATCAAACCAACTTATAGAACCATCAAAGTAAGACCACTGACTTTCACTTGACCCTTTCTGCACAAGCTTACCTCCATGGAACATCTTAAATGTGATCAGATCATCACCATCTTCATCTGTCAATTTCAGCGCAGCAAATGTCCCATTAATAACTAGTCAATGCACTTAATGTTCTATTCAATTGAATATAGACAAATTCACAACCTAATTCATCCCGCAAAAACCATGATTATTTAACCCATACACTAACAAACTCATATAACAATAGACAACACAAGGACCACCCAACCAGGACCACACGGTTCTCACATACTAGCACACATGAAGGAGAAAGAGACATAAAGAAGACAGGTTCGGCCAAAAAAAGACATATTCAACCAAAAAAGGACATAAACAAGACATAGACATATAGTAGAGAAAGCATAAAGAAGAGACAAGAATGGGACCACTTACACACGAGTTGAGAACCTCCAGCTTCTCTAAGCACAGTCATTTTTGCACCACTTCTCTATGCACCCTTAAATTCCAACACCAACCAATATTCAATGATTTCTTACCGAATTGAAATATTCGCACCACTTCACTGTTGCTAGATAGAACTTTACACTCACTGTTGCTAGATAGAACTTTACACACACAGAAAAGCGATTCCTAAACCCTATTCAAAGATGCGCTACCTAAAATCCAAAACCTTCATTGAAGATTCCTTTGGCTTGAACAGCTAAGCCATTCGATTTCTTCACTTTCCCAAATCTGAAATTTTCGAAATCCTAACCCAGTATGACACACTATCTCATGGGTCCCACCAATAGCCACCTTGGATACCAATTTCTGATCAATTTTTGCCACTTGTATGAAATTACTCGAGTACCCTTGCCACATCAACTAAGATAACGATTTTTTGTTGAATATTCACAGCACGGGGCAACCTTAGTAACGGAATGGAAGTTAAGGGAGTAGTTTGAGCCATTACAAAAGTCAGGGGGCAATCTGAGACACTTTGTAAACCATAGGGGGTATTTGAACAAAGGAGCCTATACTTTAAACACTTCAATAAAATCGTCCTTATATGTTCATGTATACAAAGGTATCTTTTGATTTTAACCTTCAATTAGTGTAAATATTTCAAAGATTTGACGGAGACAACGGTGGCCTTTCCACACCTTAAACCGTGTGTCCATTTTGTCAAAACCGGATAATACCACACACATGATCACATTAAAATTTTCTTGTAAAAAATTCTGAACTGAGTAAGCACTATTATGGCCATGTGCTACTTCATGGTTTCATAAATATTTACAAGAGAAACACCCAAAAAACTCTTGTTAGAAGTAACACCACTTCTTATATTTATATAGGTAAGGTTACTCATGATATATTCCTATTATTGAGGACATGAAAAACAATCATACCTCACTAAGAGTTTAATAAACTTATCCTCTTTATCATAGCACTATGCAATGAGCATCCTGGAATAGGGTATATAAATTTATTCAATGCTTATTCAATTCATTTATTAGTAACTTGTTATTACCCATTTAACTTTGGTTTAGTGATGTTCTAGGCAAAGTTGGGTTACCATTATTGGTGATTTAAGTAAAGGATATCAACCCCATTCCACTAGATGTACTATTTATCATATCTCTAGAGAGTCCCTTAGTAAATGGATATGTCAAATTTTTGTTTGACCTTACATACGTTATATTGATAACTCCATCTAGATTTTCCATTATACACTTTGGTATAAGCTCTAGACAATGTAGCTTCACTATCACAATAAAGAGATTGATGACATTGGTTGTGGCCACAACTCTATATCAAACAACAAGTTTCTCATCCATTCGGTTTCTTTGCATGCCGTTGTTAATGCTATAAACTCATATTCCATCTTAGAGTGTGATATAATTGTTTGTTTCTTTGATGCCCAAGAAACTGCACCTCCTCCAATTGTGAATATCCACTCTGACGTGGCTTTATTGTCATTACCACTAGAAATCCAACTAGCATCTGAGTAACCCTCTAATACAGTTGGAAATTTAGAGTAACATAGACCCAAGTTAATGGTCTTCTTTAGATAGATAACCTAAAATTTTACGTATTGCTTCCCAATGTTGTGCACTAGGATTTATTGTAAATCAGGATCGAAATAGTCTACTCCTTTTTCTGCTTAAGGCCTTTGGGTACTAACCTGGCTTTAAAGGTTTGTAGAGAACCATCGGTATTATATTTCCTTCTAAACACCCATTTGCAACCAATTAGTTTAGATGCATGTGGTTAGTCTACTAAAGTCCATGTTCGGTTTGACAATAATGAGTTCATCTCATCATCTATATGTTAGAATGTTCAGACTATGATCTGAACCATTTGGATTTTTGGTAGATGGAGCTCCAGATCTTAGAGAAAAATGAAAAACTTAACATGCTTGAATTGCATGAATTATGCTCTCTTGCTCTATTGGCCTACAAAACACACAAATAGAGGCAAATAACTCAGAATTATAGGAAACTAAGCAAAAGAAGTAAGTAAATTGGGCATGTATATGTATGAAATTATGAGCTTAACAACTACCCTATGATATAATGATACCTGGCACAATTTGTTACTTAAGCTAAGAATACATCTCAGCTGTCCATTGGACTGTGATCCAATGGTTCACACTTAATTCATTACAATTAAACTAAATAACACTAATACTCAGCTAACACACTTATACTTCAACACTCCCTTCTAAGTGTTTAGCTGAAATAACTCCAAGCTTGCTCCTTAGATATTCAAACCGATCCCTTGCCAAAGGCTTAATGAAAATATTAGCAAGTTGCTCTTCAGTTTTGCAATATAGTAGATCAATCTCACCATCTTGAAGTGCATCTCGAATTAAATGAAACCTTCTATTGATATGTCTGGTTTTGTGATGATGAACTGAATTCTTCGATATAGCAATAGCTGAAGTGTTGTCACATAGCAATTGAGTTGGTTCTACTTGCTCTTCCCCAAAATCTGATAACACAAACCTCAGCCAAATAGCTTGTGCAGTAGCTTCTGCTGCACTAATATACTCAGCCTCTGCAGTTGAAAGAGCAACACTGCTTTGCTTGATTGAAGCCCAAGAAAACACACCTGACCCAAAGGCTTAGTGAAAATATCAACAAGTTGCTCTTCAGTTTTGCAATATAGTAGATCAATCTCACCATCTTAAAGTGCATCTCGAATGAAATGAAACCTTCGATTGATATGTCTGGTTTTGTGATGATGAACTGGATTCTTCGATATAGCAATAGCTGAAGTGTTGTCACATAGCAATTGAGTTGGTTCTACTTGCTCTTCCCCAAAATCTGATAACACAAACCTCAGCCAAATAGCTTGTGCAGTAGCTTCTGCTGCACTAATATACTCAGCCTCTGCAGTTGAAAGAGCAACACTGCTTTGCTTGATTGAAGCCCAAGAAAACACACCTGACCCCAAGTTAAAAACATAACCTGATGTGCTTCTCATGTGATCCTCAGTTCCACTCCAATCACTATCACAATAACCTATTAGCACTACTCCTTTTCCCTTTTCATAAGCAATTCCATAATTCATAGTACCTTGAATGTATCTCAGCACCCTCTTTGTTGTTCCCATGTGCTTCTTAGTTGGATTATGCATGAATCTAGCCAAGAGGCTTGCTGCAAACATGATATCTGGTCTGGTTGCAGTTAGGTAGAGCAAACTCCCCACCATTTTCCTATACAAAGTCTCATCAGCTAGATCACTTCCATCCATTTTTGACAATTTTTCATTCACAGCCAGTGGTGTTGCAACAAACTTGCAATCCTTGAGTCCAAACTTGTCAAGCAAAGTCTTTGCATACTTCTTCTGGTGTAAGAAGATGCAAGTATCAGTTTGTAGAACTCCAAGACCAAGGAAATGATGAAGCAATCCTAGGTCAATCATCTCATATTGCCTCATCATCTCATTCTTAAACTCAGCCATCATTTCCTTTGAGCTTCCTGTGTAGATAATGTCATCTACATATAGTGACACAATGAGAATACCACTTGTAGACATCTTAGTGTACAATGTAGCTTCACTTGGACTCCTATGAAAACCAGCTTTAGTAAAGTAGGAGTTTATCTCTTCATACCAAGCTCTTGGAGCTTGTTTCAAACCATATAAAGCCTTTTTAAGCCTATACACCTTATCTTCACTTCCTTGTATCAAAAAACAGATGGTTGATCCACATACACTTCTTCATTTAGCACTCCATTAAGAAATGCCGACTTTACATCCAACTGAAATAGCCTCCAATTTCTCTGTGTAGCTAAAGCCACCAAGGTTCTCACAGTATCAAGTCTTGCCACTGGTGCAAAGGTCTCATTGAAGTCTATTCCAGGCTTCTGAGAATAACCCTTTGCTACCAGTCGTGCCTTGTTCTTCTGCATAGATCCATCCAAGTTCAGTTTTGTCTTATAGACCCATTTAACACCAATAATTGGTTTGTCAGATGGTCTATTCACAAGTTCCCAAGTGTTGTTCTTTTCTATCATTAGGATTTCATCTTCCATAGCTTTCTTCCAGGAATCATCCTTTGCTGCTTCCTCAAAACTCTCTGGTTCTATGATGCACATATTGCATTTCTCATAGATTTCTGCAATGCTTTTGTACTTGCGAGGGGTGTGATCAAAATCCTGGGAGCTTGGCATTCTTTCTTGATCACTAGATTCAGTGCTAGTGTCAAATATTTCACCTTCTTCACCTTGTACTTCAGGATTACTGATGGTTTCTTCTTGTCCTTGCTTATTTGAAGTTGTTTCAGCAATTGGAATCATCACACTTCTTTCTTTCTGTGTATTCCAATCCCAGCTTGCATTTTCATTAAACACAACATCTCTAGACACAATTATCTTTCCAGTTTCAAGACTATAAAGTCTGTACCCCTTTTCACAGCTTCCATAACCTAAGAAAATGCACCTCTTGCTTGTCAAATCCAGCTTCTGCCTTTGTTGACTTGGAATATGAGCATAGCGCAATGAGCCAAACACTTTCAGATGCTTAACTCCAGGTTTTCTTCCACTATAAGCTTCAAATGGTGTTCTCTTATTCAAAGCTTTGGTTGGACACCTATTCAAGATATAAACTGATGTATTAACTGCTTCAGCCCAAAATTCAAGAGGAATTTTCTTCTCTAGCATCAAACACTTTGCCATTTCCACAATAGTTCTGTTCTTTCTCTCTGCTACACCATTTTGTTGTGGTGTGTATGAAGTTGTTAGTTGCCTTTCTATGCCTATATCTGCACAGAACCTATCAAATTCCACTGAGGTGTATTCTCCTCCTCGATCACTTCTAAGCTTCTTTAGTTTATAGCCACTCTGCAATTCCACAGTGGCTTTGAATCTCTTGAATACACTCAGAGCTTCAGACTTGTGTCTTAAAAAATAGACCCAACACATCCTTGTGCAATCATCTATGAAAGTGAGAAAATATCGATTTCCAGCTTTTGTAGTTGTTTGCATTGGACCACAGATATCATTGTGTACAAGCTCTAGAGTAGTTAATGCTCTAGTAGTAGCTTCCTTTGGAAATGATTCTCTGCATTGTTTGCCTAGAATACAACCCTCACATACTTCTGTAACAGCTGTAATTTCTGGCAATCCCACAACCATGTCTTGCTCTTGTAGTAATTTCAGACTTCTCATATTTAGATGCCCCAACCTTCTATGCCACATTGCAGTAGAGTGACAAACACTTGCCTTGTAAGCAAGATGCATTTCAGCCTGCAATTTCATTGGAAAACTTCGATTTCCTCTCATTTGTATCCTTGCAATCAAATTGGAATAAGAACTGTCATTGTAAATCTCCACCTTGTGATCTCCAAACACCAAGTAATAACCATGCTCTATCATCTGGCCCACACTCAGTAAGTTTTCTTTCGCATAACTTCTTTGATGTATTTCTTGCCCATTTTGGTTTCAACCACAAGACTACCCTTACCAGTGACTTTAACAAGCTGTCCAGTTCCCATTTCAACTTTTGCAGTCATAGTTCTGTCAATGTCAACAAGTAGATCCTCCCTTCCAGTCATATGATTGCTACATCCACTGTCCAAGTACCATACCTCATCACCTCCTTTTATACTAGCATCAATTTTATTGCTAGCATAAAACATAGTTAGAGTAGCATTTACTTGGTTAGCATAATTGACTTGCTGTGTTGGTTTCTTACTGTAACAATCTTTGGCTATGTGACCAAGTTTGTCACAGTTGAAACACTTTGGTTTGCCCTTGAATCGACACTCTCCAAAGTGTAATTTGCCACAGTGCTTGCAAGGATTTTTAGCACCATCATTTGGTTTGTTATCCCACTTCTTGCCTTTTGATTTCCAACTCTTATTTTGCTTAGAAGCTTGATCACCAGTTTTAACTGATTTGGCATCCACACTGAGACTGGCAAATGCCTTCTCAGTTTTGCTTTCAGAGTGTCTGTCCAGCCTTAATTCAAAACTCTTCAATGAGGCTACTACCTCCTGTACTTCAATTCAGATCTCTCGAATGCTCAATAACAGAACAAATAGAATCATAGGCAGATGGCAAACTAATGAGCAATTTTTGAACAACCCTTCCCTTAGGCAATTCCTCCCCATAACTTCGCATTTGATTTATCAAATCAAACAATTTGGTAATATAAGCAGTTAATGATTCATCATCTTTCATCCTTGTATACTCAAACTCTCTTCTAAGGCTTTGTAATTTAACACCTCTTACCTGCTTATCTCCATGGTATTCTTGCCCTAAGGCTTTGTAATTTAACACTTCTTACCTGCTTATCTCCATGGTATTCTTGCTGCAGAATGTTCCAGGCACCTTTTGATGTCTCCTCATGAGAAATTCGTGGGAATATCTCATCTGAAACTGCTCCCTGAATCAATCCCAGAGCCTTAGCATCCTTCATGAGTACCTCAGCAAATGTGTCTTTCCCAATACCACCTTATTCTTCTTTTTCCTTTTTCTTAGCATCAGATTCATCTGACTTCTTCAGATCTGTACTATCGAATCCCTTTTCCACCAAATCCCACAGTCCATGAGATTTGAAGATGGTCTTCATCCTTATACTCAAGAAATCATAGTTCTCACCATTGAAAATTGGTGCTCTCATTTCACCACCACTTGACCCAGCCATGTTAGACTCAGATCTGCAGAACTCAAACTCAGCTGCAGCTTCGATAGCTCACCAATTCAAACGCCCAGTGTTAATTGATCGAACCTGGCTCTGAGGCCATGTTAGAATGTTCAGACGAGTTTTATGGGTTCTAGGAAGTTTGGCAGCGTGCCTTAGAAGCTGGAACACCATTTAAATGTTGTTTGTTGTCTTGTACCAAAGGGTTTTCTAGGAGGGAGACAAGGGGACAAAGGGTGCATGCTTTATGGCTTGTTTTCTGGTTTGCCTAACCTTGTGTTTAGGTGAGTAGCTGAAAGCAAGAACGTGAAGGAGTAATTGTAGTCCTCTACTAAGTCCAAAGGTCTGCCTACAAAAGGAAAAGAAGATGCAAGACAACTAGAGTGGTTAATCTCAAAGTTGTCAAGTAGCTGGGAGCTATTGTGTTCAAAGGAAGGTTATCTCACCAAGGGAGGAAGAGAGAGAGAGGGCAATCAGTTCAAGAGAGAGCTGAGTTGGGTCTTGAGAGTTTAGACACCAAAGAAGGGAAACACCAAGTGTGAGAGAGTGTTCACAAGTGCATCAAAGTGTTGAGCAAATGGTGAGAGAGAAAAGAGAGCTTGGGAGAGAATAGAGTTCTAAGGGGGTTTTCATTGTAAACCAAAGTTGTAACTTATTCTTTCATTAGTGAATTTCTCAAGGGGATCACCAAGAGGATGTAGGCAATTGCTGAACCTCTAGCCTCCTTCCAGAAGGCAGCATCTCTTTAAGTCATTGCTTCATTTAGACTTTAGGATCTTCTTCTACTTGTAATATCATGGATATTTTATTTAGAACTTGATTCCTATCTCATTCTACCAGAAACACAATGGCTTGTGAAGAAATAAAATCAGGATCTAAATTCTTTTCTTTCCTAGTTCTTTGGCTTTTCCTAGGTTCTACATCTCTAGACTCAACAATGATATTTGAGTTTACATCAAGCAACCTATATGCTTTAGAGTTTTTTGCATATCCCACAAAGATACTTTTTATACCTCTAGGACCCAATTTTGATCTATTAGGATCACGAGTTCTATAAAAAGCCAAACAGCCCCAAACTCTAAAATAATTTAGATTTGGTTTTCTGCCCTTCCATACTTCATACAGAGACACATGTGTCTTCTTAGAAGTAATTCTATTTTGAATATAGCATGCAGTAAGGAGTGCTTCACCCCAGAAATAAATAGGAACATTAGCACTTATAGTCATAGAATTAATCATATTAGTCAATGTTCTATTCATTCTCTTTGCTAAGCCATTTTGTTGTGGTGTATAAGTTGCAGTTTTTTTATGGAAGATACCATGTTCTTCATAAAACAAAGAAAACTCATGTGAAAAATATTCACCACCTCTATCACTACGAAGGATTTTAATTTTCAACTAAAAAACTCAACTACGAAGGATTTTAATTTTCAACTAAAAAACTCAAAGGCTTCATCCTTGCATCGTTTAAAAAACTCAAAGGCTTCATCCTTGCTAGGTATCAAATATATATAAGTAAATCTAGAGCAGTCATCTATAAATGTAATAAAATATCGTTTTCTTCCTCTTGTTAAAGTTCCATTGTACTCACAAATATCATAATGTACTAAGTCTAAGATTTTTGTGTTACTGCCATCTTCAAAGGTTTCTTAGTAATTTTAGATTGGGCACAAGTTTAACAATTTCTAGATGTAACTTCTTTGCAAGAAATTAAATTTTGCATAGACAAGTATTTCAAAGATCTGTAATTTAAATGTGCTAACCTAGAATGCCATAAAAAAATAAGAGAAGTCAACAATATAAATAGGAGAATTCGCTTTTATTAAACTGAGTTTGAACATTCATCACATGAATAACCCTTCCCAACAAACATGTCATTCTTTGACAATATAAGTTTATCAGACTCTAGAACAACTTTTATGCCATTCTTGCATAGTAGATTTGCATGTACAAGATTCTTCCTTATGTCTGGGACATGAAAAACATTGGTCAAGTTTATTGTCTTTCCAAAAGTAAATTGGAGTTCAACCATACCTTTTCCTAAGACTGTAGCAGAAGTATGGTTGCCCAAGAACACCTCTTGAGAATGCTATTTTGTTGTATAGGTCTTAAATTGTGTTTTATCATTGCAAACTTGGATGGTAGCTCCAGAGTCAAGTCACCAATCTGAACTTTTAGTTGTTGCAGCCGTATTCAATTCAGTGATCATGCCAATTTGCATCTCAAAGACCACAGCAATTATTACTTCAGTAGAATTTTCTTCTACCAAATTTGCCTTGTTTAATTTGGCATCCTTATTTTTCTTGAACCTGCAATCATGAATAAAGTGGCCTTTCTTGCCACAATGGTGGCAATTTCCATCTTTCTTGCCACTCTTGGTTTGAGGTTAGTCTTTTTAAACTCCCTTGTGTTATTCACTTTGAAGTTCTTTTGAACTTACTACTCCTCCCTTCAACATAATTAACCTTAGCGAAGTCTTGAGAGGAAAAAGCTTTCTCTCAATTTCGAGTTTCCTCTTCAATTTGGATCCCCTTTAAAAGATCTTGGAGACTCGTATCTTCTGCCATATGCAAAAGTTTCTTCCTATAATTGTTCCAGCCATTGGTTAATTTTGACATGATAGCTCCTACTTACAATGACTCAGGAACAATTATTTTGACTTCACGGAGCTTTGTGACCAATATAAGTAAATCTTGAACTTGGTCACAATTGATTTTCCATTAGTCATAATGAATTCATAGAATTTAAACATAAGGAATTTATCAGTACCTTTCTTCTCTTATGTGTATTTTTCTTGAGAAGCAGTCCAGATTTCTCTTGAAGATTGAGTAGCAGCAAAAAGATTATACAACCGATCATATAATGTGTTTAAGATGTGTCCTCTACACATTAATTCATCTTCTTCACGCTTCTTTCTATCAACAATAACATTGGGTTTTGGAATTGGCTGCAAATTTGGATCAAGAACATAGACAATGTTTTAGTGCATTCAGCATCCAGCGAATCTTGTCCTTCCAACGCATGAAATGGGTCCCATCAAACTTGTCAAGTTTCCAAAAAGAACTATCGTTCATTGCAGAGAGAGCCATAGTTTCTGACATATTCTTCATACAAATATCACTTTAAGATTGTTGGAAATTAAATTGAGAATAGACAAAAAATTTGGCTTTGAGGCACGTTATTACGTTTTCCTTAAAGTGGTATTTGCCCCCACTCAATAGAGTTTGCTAATGGGTTCCAAACAAATCACTTTTAGGATACAACAAAGATTGGAATTATAGACTTTAGCAAAAACTGAAAATTCCTTAGAATTTCTACAAGGAAATTGTATGATATATTGAGAAGAAGAGCTAGAGAGAGATTGATTTCTGTTGAGTTTAGAAGTCCCATGTTGTGGGATTTTTATAGATTCTAGTGAGTGTCAAAAATACCCATTTGATTTTGGTGAAGAGGTGCCAAAGCACTCTTTTAGTGGACAGATGTCTCCTATTGAATATAACTGTCAATACCCAAAGTTCACAACTGTTAGGATTCTTTTCAAAGAATAACTCTGTTTCACAATGCACCCACCAACTCATCACTAATATATGCAATCAATCATATATATATATATATTTTGGTTGAAATCTCTAACATTTAATTAGTCATTAATTATATTGTATCATTGATATATTAGATCTTTTCAACAAGCTAGATATAGAGACATTCATTGAAGCTTTGAAAAAGAAATGTCGACAACAAGCCTAGATTTAGACTTTTTTTATTTATTAGGATTTATATTCAGACAAAATAAAGAGACTTTGTTCTTTAGGGTTTACTTGTTAAATTCAGAGAGAATGACCAACAGCTCACTACTAGCAACACCGATATTGTCTCTAACTTAACCACCCACAAAGTCCAATAGGTGTGAGGTTTTATCGCTAAAGGCTTCGGTATTATTAGAAGTGGAACCACTTATTATAAGTTGTAATTTATTTAGTCAAGTTTCCGATGTGGAGCTTTATATTCTTCAACACGCCTCCTCATGTGGGACCACCACATAGTGGGCTACACGTGGAATCAAGTCCACATCGGAGTCAATCATTGAGGCCCAACACGTGAACACCATGTATTAGGTAAGGAATAAGGGTAAACATTCAAGCCCAACATGTGAACACTACATATTGGGTAAGGATAAAGGCCCAAATCAGGCATAGTCAATCAACCCGCTCTGATGCCATGTTAAATTTTAGAGAGACGGATCAGTGGCCCACTACTAGTAACATTGATATTGTCCCCAACTTAATCACCTACAAAGCCCAATATGTGTGAAGTTTTATTACATAAGGTCTCAGTACTATTATAAGTGGAACCACTTATTATAAATTATAATTTATTTAGTTAAATTTCCGATGTAGGACTTTATATTCTTCAACATTATCCCACTTTTTCATTGAAAAAATAGAGAAGATTTTTTTTATTTATTTAAAACGATAAAACCAGTGTATATTTCACGCGGTCAGCCAGAGCGCATGGTATTGGTACCAAATAGGCGGAAGATAGGGCACGCACAGAGTCTCTCCACATAAAGCAGAAAGTTCTCGAACAGAGCTCTCCCACGTGACCATCACGTGGCCTTCCGCCTGTCCAACGTGCCCTTCCCTCCGCCTAAAGCAAACGTCGACACGCAAAAGAAAGAGAAAGAGAAAGAGAAAAACGCGAGAAAAAGCAAAGCAAAGCACAAAGCCAAATAAGATTTGATCAAACTTCCAGGTCTCTGTTAAACCCAATTCCTTTCCTTTCATCTCTTCCTCTTTAGCTCAGTCTCTCAGCAACCAAACAGCAGAGAGCCAAAAACAATCATAGCATAGATGGGCGCGGTTTCGAAGGAGGCTCAGCTTTCGATTGCGGCTTCTTCAATGTTTCCTGGGTTTAGGTTTTCACCCACCGACGAGGAACTGATTTCCTATTACCTGAAGAACAAGCTGGAAGGACCTGAACCTGGGAAGAGCGTAGAGGTCATTCCTGAAGTTGATATTTGCAATTTCGAGCCCTGGGACTTGCCAGGTTTGTTGGGTTTTATTCATTTCTAGTTCTTTCATCTTTATCTTTCTCAAGTTTTGATTTTTGTTTTGTTTGTGTAGTGAAATAGTGATTGAATTTATTTGCAAAATATATATATATATATTTTTGTTTGTGTAGGAAACACAGAAAACGTATTTGTTTTTGTTTTTGTAATCGCGTGCTGACAGTGACAGCGTTGAATTGAGTCAACAATTTTGTTACAGATTTGTTTCTTGTAAGAATCCAATTACAATCTGGGAGAAACGTCAGACATGGGTCAAAATTTAGAGGTATTAGTGTACCCAAGGACCTTAGCTGGCCCCCACCCTTGTCAACGTGCACGGTCCACAAGTTTCTTTTCATTTTGAGCCGGACAGCTAACCCTTGGAGCTTGCATGGGGCTCATCCACTATAGGGAGGTCCGCACCTTTGAACCATGATACATTTAGTTGAAGGGATGTTTTACTGATGTGAATTATTTATATGAATGGCATAGATCCTATATATGGTATTCGATTTTATGTGACAACAAAGAGTACTGTTGTTGGAGCTAGCTTGCAATAATTTGTCGAGGAAAACTAGTCAGATTAGTAAACACAAACACGCATGTGCTCACAGTTCTCCGCCTCTCTCCATGCAGGATGAGGTGCACGTAAGGGAAAGTTGAAAGGACAAATACTGCAAATATGTTTTTCTTTTCACTGTATTCGGATTGGAGATGGTTATTGAAATAGAGGTTTTAGTCTATTTGGAAACCAATGAAGATGAAAACCTTATTTAACTGATTAGTTGATCAGAGAGAGAGAGAGTGAGAGAGTGAGATAGAGATAGTTTTATTTGAAAGAATCCAGAAAATTATCATGCTTTACTTGGACAGGGTAAAACAGATTAAACTTATTTCCGTTTTTCTTTTTCTTTTAATAAAAATTTAATTAAGGAGTGCCATGTTGGTTCTATTTGGTTATGCACATACATATATGCATTCTGGTTCAATTTTGCTGTGTCTGATTAGCACTACGCATGATATTTGCTTATGTATATGTGTGTGCGACAGTGAGTACGTATATACATATATAGTTATGTGTGGTGAGTTCAATCACCTAAACTTGTTCAAGTCTCTCTGTAAACAAATAATTTTTTGCTGGATTTGACATCTGATTAGAGTTGGTGCATGTGTAACTAGCCAAATCTGTCATTCAATCGGATAATGAGTGGTTCTTCTTTTCTCCACGAGGAAGAAAGTACCCAAATGGCTCACAAAGCAGAAGAGCAACAGAATTTAGTTATTGGAAAGCCACAGGAAAAGAACGCAACGTAAAGTCAAGTTCTAATGTAATTGGTACAAAGAGGACACTTGTGTTCCACATGGGTCGTGCGCCAAAAGGGGAAAGGACAGAATGGATTATGCACGAATACTGCATGAATGACAAGTCCCAGGTAACTTTTTTCAATAGTAGTTCAAAATGTCATCTGTTAGTTATTTGGTTTGAACTATCACCAGATGTATATTCTTCTGGGAAAGGGAAGATTAAATTAATACCATTTGTAGGACAGAACCGTTTTTCATTTGGCTTTTTTTTTCCGTCTGGAACCATTTTTCAGTTGTCCATGAATGTCACAAGTGCATTACTCTATCATTCTCTCAACTAGTAGTACTTTGATAATCTTAGTCACGCAGTGTGGTTGGCAAATGCAAAAATGGGGGTGATTGGCGAGAAATGTTTCATATGAAAATGACTTCCACTCCATTTAAGGGGAAAAAAGTACATGTGATTTAGAAGACTATAGATTGATTGCTGCTATTACTTGATTCAATCAACGTTATTCGTTGTTCTTGAGAATAACCGCCCTCATCTCCTTACTGCCAATACCTTCATATTCCTTAGAATTTGTTTCTTTAAAGTAAATTACTTATCAGAAGTGACTGAAATGTTTAGCCACAAAGATTCACCTGCTAGACCATCTTGAATTGGTTCAAGATTATTTACACGCTGCTTATGTGGGTTGTATTTATATAGTCTCTTGTTACATCTGCACATTCAATAGTTCATTTTAGTATGCAAGCACTTTCTGATTTTTTTTTCTCTCTTAAATATTCTGCCTGCTTGTTGTGCTGCAGGATTCTATTGTTGTTTGCCGCCTCCGGAAGAACAGTGATTTCCGTTTAAATGACACCACAAACGGAGGTTCTTCAAGTCGAAGTCCTTTATCAACTGTGCATAATAGTGAAAATGCTGTCTCAGAAGTTGGTATTGACCATGATAAGCCAGTTGAATGCTATTCGAAGAAGTCTACTAGCAGTCATGATTCTCATTCTACTGAGCAAATTGATTCTGCATCTGAATCCAACCAAAAACAGACAACAGAGGTTACACAGGCAGAATCTTCTGGCCACCAGATGGTGGGTTCGTCTTGACTCTTGTCTATCATATCCTTCTTTCTTTTATTTTTTATTTCTACTGCCAACTTATTTGAGATGAAATCAGTAGCCCACCTGCAAAGTTGCAGTTTACACACAGGTGCATGATTTTGAATAGCACTAACAATATCAGGTGAGTATCGTTTACCAGAAAAAACCATATCAGGTGTACATTTATAAATTTTAGGAGCTTAGGTATAGCCAACACCTAGTTTTTTGTCAGGTGGTTATGTGACACAGTTTAGTTGTGTCTGGTAGTTATGCCACTACAAAAACAAAGGAAAAACAATAATAAAAAATTCAAAGCTATCGATCACAAGTTTTACGAGGGGTTATAAAAATATCTTGGCATGCATTATGGTAACAATATAATTAAAAGCGTATGAAATATTATTTCTTTTAGAATTAGTTTGTAAGAAATATTAAGGGAAAATCATAAAAGAGAATCGAGATTAATAAAGTTAAAAGAATGTTATTTCTACCCGACTTCTCCCAGTGTTTTGCCAATTTAATTTCTTACTTGTGTCTCGTGTCTTAGAACTCAGGCTTTCTCATCTCACCAGTTGCCAATGGAATTCTTGATTTTCAATCTCTTTTTTAATTAATAACTCTCCAAATGTGCAGTTTTGTCATACAGTCAAGTCAACCCATCGTGTGTAGTGTGTAGATAGTATATTATTTAAGTTGGGAAGTACAAATAGTGGTATTTACAAGTGGAGCTAATATGGAATGTAGAATGTAATTTAAATAGATAAATAAAGGAAACTGATATGTGCATTTCCAGGCATTGACAGAAATTATTCTTTAGTGGTTATGGGACCTCAAGAAGGGTTCGTAAAAACGAAGCATATCCTTTTATTTAATACTTCAAGCTTAACTGCTTCAGAACTTTTGTATATTTTTATCAGGATTTATCTATATGTATTGGTTGGGCCTTGGGGTGGGGGTGACCACCTGCAAGATGGATAGGCAATTCATCATTGTATCAGAAGTGATTTTTTATATGTATTACATAAGAAGTGCGAGTCATTGTTTTGGGGTTATAAACAATACTTGCTCTTCTGTTACTTTTATCATACTTTTGTTCTGTGAAAGATAATCAGGGGTCCAAGAAACTTTGCATGACTGTTGGCAGTTTTGAACTCTATTTCTATATGGTAGTCCATTGTATGTCCAACTCTTGAGTTATGATCCATGTGAATTACAAATTGCAGGATTCTTATGATGATGACTTTTATGCGGATATACTGAATGATGATATCATCAGACTAGATGAAGCTTCAGCGTCTGCATCTGCTGACATACTTCCAGTTCTTGCCAATAAGTCTGAGGCCGAACAAAATTCTCACCAGCCTATGCAAGCCATTTGTAATTCAGAAGCAATTCCTTTCCAAGGTACTGCAAACCGAAGAATCCATTTGCGAAAGAGAAAGGAAAAGTTTCCTGCTGAGTCACTGGAAGGTCCCAATTCACAAGAGTCACCAAAAACTTCAGCAGATAGGATGGACGATCAACACATGCTATTATATGTAATTATTATTATTCTGGTATTGCTGGCTCTGTTTCTGTCCAAGTTTTGTTTTACTGACAATGCTGGCTCTGTTTCTTTCCTTGTTGGAAGGTTTCTGTCAAGTCAAAAACATCACAAGTAAGTCTCTGTATAAAGGTTGTGCAGCAAAATGTTAATATTAGACTTTTCTTTCTTGACCTGGTCTTGATTTCTGTTGAATGCTCGAGTAAGCTTAAGGGACAAGTAGTGGAAGGCAGCCCTTAGATCCATGGGATTCCTATGACTTTCGCATATTAACGCTCTGGTAATTTGCTTGAATAAGGTTAAGGATGTTGGCAAGTCTTCCCTTTCCCCATGTTTTTCTCCCTTTCTCTACTCTTCTTTTAGATTCGTCTTCCCCCTCCCTATTTTTGAATAACGTTTTTGTAACAAGCGTTATTAAATAAATTTAGGCATGGGCAATGACACAACTAATTCCTATTTCTGGATATTTTCGCTTTTATTTTTTTTTCAATTTATTCTATTTTGGATACTTATTTTCTATTATTACATTCTCTACTCCCAAGTCCCAAAATTGAAACCTAGAACTAGAAGTGCAAAAGATGATTTCTAGGTGGAAATTGCAAGACTTACGTATGCTTTTGCACCGTTTGAACACAGGGCCACTCGAGTGGATTTTGGTTTGTACCTTGGCGCTCGAGGGGACATTGCGATTTTCAGTTTCTTTTTCCGCTTTGATGAGTTGTTAATGTTTATTTTTTCTCCTTTTCTATTCTTTCTGGGATTCCTTCCTATGATAGGTTTGAGGTTCAGCCATGATGCAGGAGCATAAGGGGTGAATCAAGAGAGATATTTATCATTTAATTAGTTATTTCATGAGATATTGTTATTTTTTTATTTAGGTAGTTTTAAGATTTCTTTTATTATTTATGTATGATTTTATAATTAATTAGTTTACTTTTAGACCAAGTAGTCTTGTTGCTCAAGTCTTGTAAAGCCTATAAATAAGGCTAATGTAATAGTTGTAGGGTTTTTGTTGTTGATGATTAATGAAATAGTTTATTTGTGATATGAATTCGCTACGATATATGTGAGTTTGCACTAGTCCTAGATTTCGATATTTGTATGTGTTGTTGATGACTTCTGTCATGACCCCGATCCCCAAGAATTTCCTCAGAGAATTTCTTCACCACTCTCTCTCTCTCTCTTCTTTCTTTCTCTTTTACTTTCTCTATTTCTTTTTCTTTCTTTCTTCTTCTTCTCTCTTGCTTCTTATGCAAACTATGCATGCCTAAATCAAATGACTTCTATTTATAGTATTACATAGGTGGCAACTATTGACATCTAATTGGTGAGGTGTGCGGCAATTGATGATAAGCTGAACTCCCACCTTAGCCAATTGTCCCTTAGAATCAAGGGAGTTTCACTAAAATACCCAAAATGGGGGCTGAAATTATAAAAATACCAAACATCCAAAACACTTTATAAACATACCCAAAACTCATCATTACACACACTCAAAACCCATTTATAAACATACCCAAAACCCATCATTACACACATACCCAAAACCCATTTTGGGTATGTTTCTATGTTTAAATAGTGCTTGGGTATTTTTATAAATACATGTCTAGGATTGGGTATTTTTATAAAAACCTTAGCCAATTGTCCCTTAGAATCAATTGCTCATGCTTGGAAAGCCAGCTCAAGCTTGATTGCATGTAAAATGATGCCAACACTAACTTCTAAATCCACTTCCTACTTAACCAACATCCACCTTATGCTTCTTATATAAAATATATACCATGGTGAAGTGTACTCGTGTAGCTCCCAGGTAAAGCCAACATATAATACAATATAATTTATAATAAGATAGGTCAAATTGTCATATGAACATGAAATGGCAAAAATTGAAGGTTAATCAATTGCTCATGCTTGGAAAGCCAGCTCAAGCTTGATTGCATGTAAAATGATGCCAACACTAACTTCTAAATCCACCTCCTACTTAACCAACATCCACCTTATGCTTCTTATATAAAATATATACCATGGTGAAGTGTACTCGTGTAGCTCCCAGGTAAAGCCAACATATAATACAATATAATTTATAATAAGATAGGTCAAATTGTCATATGAACATGAAATGGCAAAAATTGAAGGTTAAAGTTGTTTCAACTGAATAGTCAAATCCTACGTAGATTTGAAGGCTGTAAGAAATATGTCAAAAATAACACTTGATGTCTCTTGAACCAAAAAAAAAAAAAGGCTTGATGTCAAATATAATTTTAATATTTTTTAGTCATGAACCCTGTTATCATTTACTCTCTTTTCAAACTTTATGCATCATATGGGCCCATTTGCTTTTAAAAATATAATAAAATAATATGATATTTGGCATTTCGAGTGGAGTTTAATTTTTTCCAAAATGTCAAATTGTCACATAAGCCATCAAATTCAAATTTAACATTTTGCATTTGACATCTCTCTTAGAGATGCTGTAAGAAAAAGAGCAATAAAATTATAAAAGTGCCTTTGCATTTCTTCTCCGTCTCGCGCTGAGATTCTGGTTCTTCTTCTTATAAAAATGTTATCATCTTTACTGTGATGTGACTCAATTACAAACTAATACTTGATTTTTTGTCATTCTTAGAAGTGCATTTATTTTTTATTTTAATTATTCTTAACAAGAGAGATACGTGTCAGATTGGGACTGGACCACATCAGTAGGCAAGGAAGAGTTCCATTTTATGGCAAAGGAGGGAAGTGTTATTCAATTTCGATCCTTCAAAAATTCAGTGCAATAAGGGTGAAATGTGTTTATACCAAAATGAACAGCCAATAAGAACAAAACACGTGGATAAAATCGAGTCTGGCCAAAGTTGTCTTCGGCACCCAGCTTACCGATCCATCTATTAGGGCAACGCCCTCTCCTGGGACACGTGACATGCTCACAATCGACGTCCATAGTCCCACATCGAAATTCTAAACAAAGTGCACACCTCCCAAGGCCTATAAAGAAGGCCAACTATCCCAAAATAGAGGTGATCAGAACTAACGGCATACAAGCCTATTGATATGTCAGTTTAATTTACTAAATCCAAACTTACTTAAGCATCGGAGAGCCTTCGGCCGGTACCACACCAGTGCCCTAGGTCTTACCGAGCGTTTTCTCATATTGCAGATTACACTCCCTACCGAGGCCATAAGGATACCGAAGGCCCAAAATCACTAAGTTGAGCCCAAAAGTATTAAACCATTTTTTAGCATCAACAAAATGAAAGCATATTCTTTCTGTGATTACTCGTCAAGTTGTTCATAATTAACCTCAAAAGTGCAAAGATTGTACCTAATTTCCCCAAAAACGCTAGAACCCCGAAATTGAAACTTAGGGGGGTGTATTCAATTGAGATTTTAATAGATTGTAATTACATGATTTTAATGTAATGAATTTCACCTGGATTTGTAATTATATGATTTTACTCATGATTTTAATAGATTGCAATTACATGATTTTACTTATGATTTTAATTTACTTAGAAGCCATAAGGATACCGAAGGCCCAAAATCACTAAGTTGAGCCCAAAAGTATTAAACCATTTTTGAGCATCAACAAAATGAAAGCATATTCTTTCTGTGATTACTCGTCAAGTTGTTCATAATTAACCTCAAAAGTGCAAAGATTGTACCTAATTTCCCCAAAAACGCTAGAACCCCGAAATTGAAACTTAGGGGGGTGTATTCAATTGAGATTTTAATAGATTGTAATTACATGATTTTAATGTAATGGATTTCACATGAATTTGTAATTATATGATTTTACTCATGATTTTAATGGATTGCAATTACATGATTTTACTTATGATTTTAATTTACTTAGGATTTAACTTATTATTTTAATAGATTGCAATTACATGATTTTACTTATATTTCTATACAAGCTTGAATTCTATCACCCATCATCATTCACCTAAATACATCATACATGCGACTTACAAACCTTCATGAATTGATAATACAGTTGCTTGTTACCTAACTTCATTAGAAAATCACTTGTGCACAAATTACTCAAAACACAGATTCATCCCACCCATTATTTCACTAACAATGCTATTCCATACATCAACGGATTTATCACACAGTGAACAAAACCTAATACATAATTCAATTAAAATGCCACTACCAAAATACATAATTCAACTAAAATGCCACAACCAAAATACATAGTTCAACAAAACTTCTCCATTAAAACCTAGCCCATCTCCATTTTTGTTTTCAAGTTGAACCCATTTGTCATTTTACTAACGGTGAAGTAAAAGCTCTTCCAATTGCACCAGTTTAGGGCTCACACAAAACAGAAACGCCATTTGCGTTTAGGGTGTTGGAGAAGAAAAAGTTTCTTGGGTAAGTTTTTATAAAAAGAATTACTTGATGTGTTTTTGGTTCGCATGTTAAACCCATTGACTGGAGTCGAGAGAATTTCTTATGGATCAGAGACAGAGAGCTCGTAGAAGCTAATAGGATTTGCTTCGCTGTAAAGGCTTGTGGTAACCCCAACAGCAAGGTAACATATATATCCTTAATATTTTGATGAAGTTAAAATCTAAGCTCAAGGGAATTTATGTGGGTATTGATTTTGACAAAATGTCAGTTTAAGCTTAAGGGAATTTATGTGTTTTTTTTAAAAAACTTCAATCTTGCCCTGTTGGATTCATAATTTCGGTTAAGGTGTTTGGTAATTGGGTTGTACAGATGCGTTGAGTGAGTTCGTGCTATAAAAGCATGAGATAAACTATGTTGGGTTGTTGGGACTGTGGAGGCTAGTGTTTGTGGATAGTCAACATGTCTAATGGGTGTGCTGGTGAGAATTGATTTGGGATTTGGGGATACTCTTATTAAGACTTGATGTTATGTAGTAATTTTGAAGATCTGAGGATGTTAGAGACTGGGTGTGTCTGTTCATCAAATGAATTTGTTTTAAGGAAATTGGCCATTGAACCAGACTTAATAAGAGTAACATCCAAACTAAACTTCATACAAAATGGATTTAAGTTTAAGATGAAATTATGGCAAGTTTCATACTCACCCAGTTTTCAAAATAGGCTTGTTTAGCCTTTTGTGTATTCTTGGTTGAGTCTCATATTGATTATTGCACTAGGGAGAGTTAAGAACCAAAACTTTAACTAGAATTAAGGCTTTTTCTATTGCACATTTTAACAATAAAAATCGAATTTTACAGGATTTAATTGTTTTGATCTTAAATTGAAGCCCAAGTCGTACACTTTATTATTTTTGTTATAACTGACATTAAACACTATTTAAATGGAAAGTCACTGATTATGTGGCTATGGAATATAAGATTCTGATCCCATTACAAAGAAAAAGATGATTTGTATGACTTCTGCCTTAAGTTTAAAACCAAAACAATTAAAACCTATAAAATTGAAATTTTGTTGTTAAAATAAAATCTAAGTGCAATAGAAAAAGCCTTGAGCACGCAGAAAGGGCATGCCAAGAGGCTAGTATGCAAGAATGGTATAAATGAATTTAGTTGGCTCTTAATTTGATATCTTCAATAGTTACGCTCAGTAAGGTCTGTTTTAACATAGAGGATTGACAATTGGAGTTGTGTGTGTTTGGTTAAGGTATGGTGGGAAAAAAGGTCAATTATTGTTTTGAACAGTTCGTTGATCAATTTCTGTTTGACTTTGAGATTTGGGTAAATAGATTAGTACCAGTTATTAAATTTCAGTCATTGGATTGAAAAACCTGTCTTTGTTTCAGATACGTTTTACCTGTGGGAGCGTAATTCTCAATTGTGAGATTTATGCATGATTAGGAAGATGTCAACTGCACAGCCTTCAAAGAAACTAGTGTCCTGTGTTATCCTTGATTTGGATGGTACACTACTTAACACAGGTTCGCACTCTGAGTGGCATTTTCAATTTTACATTTAACTTCATGTTATTTGATCTGTGATAATGGGCTGATGCTTCCTTTGGTCTTCCTGTGTTGGAACTTGGATGTGAATTTTATTCTTAGTAGTAGCTGTTTGCTTTCTACTGGTGTTAGTAACTCCTTTTCTTCATTATTTTAATTATTCACAGATGGAATTGTAAGTGATGTTTTAAGAGTTTATTTGGGCAAGTATGGAAAGCAGTGGGATGGACGGGAAATTAAAAAAATTGTTGGAAAAACACCAATTGAAGCTGCAAGTGCTGTTGTTGAAGATTATGAGCTATCTTGTACAACGAGTGAATTACTTTCAGAGATTACCCCCATGTTCTCCAATCAGTAATTAACTTATGTACTTGCTTTTATGTCTGTTAAAAAATCATTTTGATGTAACTACCAAATGTTTGTTTTGGCTGTTTTTTACTATTGGCTTTTAGGTGAGGAATATATAATAGGTGTTGTGGTCAATATTTCAAAGAATTATGTTACATGTGTTTCTTTTGTACTTTTTCTATAGGTAGTCAATTTGGATGTTGGATAATTTTCTTTTTGGACTAAACGGAGCTTGTTTTAGATCATATGTTTTTAAGGATGCTTCCATATGATAATAATGAGGACAACTCACTCACTCACTGTTATGTGTTCAGGCAGTACTTTAGTGGAAAACTGTTAATTGGCTATTGACAATTGTCATTCTAGGTGGTGCAACATCAAAGCACTTCCAGGTGCCAATCGGTTAATTAAACATTTGAGTGGTCATAGAGTGCCAATGGCATTGGCTTCAAACTCTCCAAGGGAAAACATAGAAACCAAAATTTCTTTCCATCAGGGTATACTTCTTCAAAAGCATATTTGCTTACTTCTTTCACGGAAAATTTTAAGTACCACATGCATTCAGGATATTATGATTCGTTCTTGTCATACAAACAAGCACTATTTGCTTATTGTATTTCATATGCAGGCTGGAAGGAATCCTTTTCTGTCATCATTGGTGGTGATGAAGTAAGATTGGGGAAGCCTTCTCCGGAAATGTGAGATGCACAAATGTGTTGTTTTGGGCTTGAATTTGAGTGTGTTTTTTTATTTATTTAAATTTTTTATATCAAGGATTAGATTATATGGTATTCTGAAACTAGAAATATTTGATTTTGCATTGGAGATTCCTTGAAGTTGCTGAAAGGCTTAATGTCAACCCTTCCAGCTGCCTTGCGATTGAAGATTCTCTGTAATTATCCCTACTCTGATTCTTTACAGGTTTGAATATGTTTTTCTATTAAAGTATGCAGAGCAAAAACTGTTGCAGGGAACATTCTCCTTTTAGTGCTATGGTTTTCATTTATGTTCTCTACAACTACCCTTGTTTGCATTACATCTAAAACGTCTTCAATAGAAGAATGAACCTACTTGAACACCTTGATTTTTGCTACATATACTTTCCTTGAACCAGACTAACTTTGATAAGGCTGGGACATGCTGTATTGGAATATAAGTCATATTACATTTTTGGCCAATAATAAAAAAATGTCAATTATGACTCTTACATACTGAACAAGTTTGGTATTAATTTTAAAAACTAAAGCAAATAAATCAATTAAACCCACTTTATACCCACAATTTACTCTCCCAAGTTCTAAATTTTCTTTCCTTAATGTACCTTCTATCACAATACACACATGTGTGATGCTTGTAGTTAAGATTAGTAATTTCATATGTAGATGGCAAGTAGCTGCAAATGAATAATTGATGTGCTCTTCTTCACGAACATTCTTCCTTTGATAAGTAGATGCTATGTTACCGCCTTATGATGTGATGCAGGGCATTAGCAATAATCTGCTGTCCAGCAACCCAAACAGTCCAAAAATACAGAGAATTGAAGGATAAAGCAATAGAATAGAAGTTGGAAGGAAGATAATTGAGTTCTAGGGCAAAGAACAAATAAAACAATAACTTATCAATTTAAAATAGCCAAAATTTAGCCTTACTGGTTAACGAACAGATGCTCCTGCATCATGATGTGTATATGGTTTAAGAAGTCATGTCACTTTTCTTTGCATTTCTTTATTGGAACATTTATTTGTCAGACCAGGTGTTACAGCTGGAAAGGCTGCTGGTATGGAGGTGGTTGCTGTACCCTCCATCCCAAAGCAGGCCCACCTTTATACTTCAGCGGATGAGGTGATCAACTCTCTACTTGATTTGCGACCTGAAAAGTGGGGCCTACCTCCTTTCCAAGATTGTAAATCTCAGTACCTGTGTCCGTGTTTCAACTATGTTTGAAGAGTTTCTTCTGCACAAGCCCTTTTCATTAGCACCATTGATCTGTTGTTGCAGGGATAAAAGATACTTTACCACTAGAACCTTGGCACATTGGGGGTCCTGTCGTTAAGGGATTTGGTCGGGGCTCAAAAGTACTTGGGATCCCTACAGGTGTGTTGCTGTCGGCCTATCCAGTTAGAATCTTCATTCAACTGTACATGTCTTCTGATGAAACAATGTTTGACTGCTGTTCTTAGTTTGAGATGATATATACAAGTTAGTTTTATTTCATGTGTAGGCAATTTTTTAATGCACCTGATATTGGTTATATACAGGTTGCATTCCTTAGATCCTACGTTGCTTGAATGAGCTTGAAATTATTGGTTTGTTGCTTGTGTTTTGTTGTTTCTCTCCCTGTTATGCTCAATTAAATTGTTTCATTTCCTCATTTCTTTATCCTTATAAGTGCACTACATCTTTTCTACAGCAAATTTACCCACAGAAGGATATGGATCTCTTCTTTCAGAACATCCCTCAGGAGTATATTTTGGTTGGGCTGGATTATCTAAACGAGGTGTCTTTAAAATGGTCATGAGTATTGGTTGGAATCCTTATTTCAACAACACTGAAAAGACTATAGTGAGTCTTTCAAGCCACATAAGTAGCATTTGCAAGTATTTTTCTTCTTTTTGCTGAATTTAGTTTGTAATGCAGGAGCCATGGTTGCTTCATGACTTTGATGAGGATTTCTATGGGGAGGAACTGCGTCTTATTATAGTCGGCTACATACGGCCAGAGGTATTAGACAAAACTGATCAATCTTTTCTGGAAAATACCAATTGCTCCTCCTGCCCTTCTATCTCTTTGTTCCTAATTTTCGTTTATGAAATAAACAGGCCAATTTCTCATCCCTCCAGAGCTTGATAGAGAAGATTCATCACGACAGAAAAGTTGCAGAGGAAGCTCTTGATCTTCCATTGTTCTCCAAATACAAGGACGACCCATATCTTAAAAGTTCTACATAAGGGTGTCCCAGGAATTTCTTGAAGGCTAGTTTTCCTACGTCATCGGCTAAAACAATAAATCAAATTGTACACTCATTATTTTGACATTCATTCATTTTGAAGAGATTCTATCACTCTCAGGAATGTAACATATATAAAGTGCCATAAATCACAAATCAAATTTATTGTTTTCTAAATTACGGGTCATATCTTAATGACATTGTGGTTATACACAGACATCAGTTACAGTTTATAAATCAGATTTTTCTTAGGTCAGAAAATCTCCAGGCCTCAGCACTAGTATAGCTGTGCCAGCTCTTTTCAGATTTAAGTTTTAGATTGCATGTTATTGGGGAAAGCTGCTCATCTCATAACTGTGTTGCTTGTCTCCAGGTCCCCAACCCGGGAGGTGCCTACGCCATAAGTAAACCCCTCAACAACCCCAAGCCCCGTTAGTCAAAATTGAAAGCCGGCAAGGGAGGGAGGCGGGGAAGTACTCGAAACCCGACAATCTTAGACAGAATAACCAATGCAAGAATATCTGCAACAAAGTTTGGTTTATTTTCCTTAGAACATGATGAAACCCGACTTCTTCAAAGAGATTAGCAAAAATGAATGTCTCAAAGGATAGACCGGATCTGAAGTATCATTCAGCAGACAACCAATATCAATAACGAGAGTACCCCCAAACCAGGATTTTGGTCAATAAACTATTTCCTTCCACATTCATAATACAGAATTCTAGACTTATAATACAACGTCGTAGGCATTCAATACAATATCTTAGGCTTTAGAGTCATTACCTTATGCAAGTTTCATGAATTATATTTGTAACAGCAAACATTGAAGCTTTAGCCTGCACCATATGATTTAGCTTGTAAAGTTTGGAAGTAATTAAATGTGATTCTTTATTTATGTGGAAGGCTCTTCTATGTATACATCAAAAATACCATCAGCTGGTGGTTTTTTTTCGGGCAAATAATCCGTAGACAAAAAAGCACAATATTCTCCGTTGGCTCCTCGCAATCGCTTAAAAATAGATGGAATAAAAAAGTTGGTGCCGCTAAAATTTTATATTTGGATGCCATTTACCTTTTTACCTTTCTATTTTTTGAAACAAACAAATAAAATTACACTAGTGCCTTTGCCTTTTTCCTTCGCTGCCCCGCGCTGAGCTTCTGCTTCTTCTTCTGCTTCTTTCATTTTCTTTTCTGGGTCTCTCACAGGGAAAGAGGAAGAGAAAGACAGGGAGTGAAAAAGGGCTCCAAGGGATTGAGGTTTTTCAAGAATTCAGTACCAGAATGGTGAAAACCATATTCTTTCTGTGATTAAAGCCAAGCCCATCTCCATTTTCGTGTTCAAGTTGAACCCACTTTTCATTTACTACCCGAGAAGTGAAAGCTCTTCCAATTGCGTCAGTTTAGGGCTCACACAAAACAGAAAGCCGTTTGCGTGTTGGAGAAGAAAAAGTTTCTTGGGTAAGTTTTTATAAACAAAATTACTTAAAGTTTCTTGGGTAAGTTTTTATAAACAAAATTACTTTATGTGTTCTTTACATTCTTAGTTTGTTCAGGGTTTTACCAAACCTTATGTGTTTTTGGTTCGCATGTTAAATCCATTGACAGGAGCCGAGAGAATTTCTTTTAAATCAGAGACAGAGAGCTCGTAGAAGCTAATAGGATTTGCTTCGCTGTTAAGGCTTGTGGTCACCCGATCAGCAAGGTAACATAAATATCCTTAATATTTTTATGAAGTTAAAATCTGATATTATGGTGTACTTACTGTTTGATTAGTTTGAGCTTAAGGGAATTTGTGTTTTTTTTCCTTAAATTTAGTTCTGTTGGATTCTAAGAGATTGAAAGTAAGGAGAAAGCTTATTGACACTTAAAAGCTTAGATGAGGGCTAGATAGAAGCTCCATAATGTTGGTTAAGGTGTTTGGTAATTGGGTTGTACAGATGAGTTGAGTGGGTTTGTGTTATAAAAGCATGAGATAAACTATGTTGGGTTGTTGGGACTGTGGAGGCATGTTGTTTGTTGATAGTCAACATGTCTAATGGTTGTGCTGGTGAGAATTCATTTTGATTTGAGGATAATCTTATTAAGAACAGGAACAACTTGATGTTATGTAGTAATTTTGAGGATCTGAAGATGTTAAGCGACTGAGTGTGTATGTTCATCAAATGAATTTTTATCAAGCCAACTGGCCTTTTTACATGTTGAACCTGGCTTAATAAGAGTAACATCCAAACTAAACTTCGTACAAAATGGATTTAAGATGAAATTATGTTAAGTTTCATGCTCACCCAGTTTTCAAAATAGGTTTGTTTAGCTTTTTGTGTATTCGTGGTTGAGTCTCATAGTGATTGTTATGCACAAGGGAGAGTAAGAACCAAAACTTTAACTAGAATTACGACTTTTGGGGGGCAGCTTTGGGTCGTCAGATATCACAATAATAATTAATAAACAACCAAGGGAGAAAAAGATAAAGTGGCATATATGCATCCTCCGCAAAGCCAAAGTCTTCGTGAAAATGGTCATTCGTACAATTGTATAGAAGCTGAGCAAAAAGTTGAAACCTCAGCCTGTTGATGGACTATGGAGTTCCATGAATTTTCCACTTTCCATCCTCCCATCATTAAGTTAATGATGTGACACTCTTAGTTTGTATATTTCAAATAAAAACTATCTGTTATCCCTTGAGTCTTGCTTGACTTACTAGAGTGACCTCCACAATGTCGCTGCCCCTATCATAAAAGGGAAATTGTACCAGTCGCTCGCAGTGGAAAACCTAGCTTGCATTTTTTTGTTTTGTTTTTAGTAGTTGGAACCCCTTGCAATTCGAAACTCCCTCGTATCCTAGGGTTTCGTAATTATCTCATGCTACACCTCTGCCTTTTTCTCTCTCCCTCATACTCCTTCTCAGACCCCTTTCTAGCTCTCTTAATTTTAAATTAATTTCTGCAATATTAGATCTTGCTATTGTCTCAAACCATAAAACAAAAGAAGGGAGGTAGAAAGATATATGGTTGCAAATTTGGGTTAGCTCTATCTCTGGCTCGCCACTTTCCAATCAATAATCATGCCTCATGGAGCCAATTACTTCCCACTCCTGTTTGTGTATTTCTCTAATCAAGTTCTTAAGCTTTCCAATGTTATCTGGATATGAGTTTAATACACTTGATGTATGTATATTTCAATAGGTTTTATATGAAGATGTATGTGAATTTTGTGTGTCCTACTGTTTGAATTATTGCTTCTGAGTATGAGTTTGTTTGGTATGAGCAATTAAATTTTAGTAATTTACTACTTATTACTTCAGAATTGATGGTTTATCTTATCATCCTTTTAAGTTTTCTCCCAGAAAGGTAAAATCCTGGGACCCTCTGTTGAAAATAAATCTGCCAAAGGCTCAAAGGCATTGACATATATATCTCATAATGGATCCATCCATTGTGAAGAAGCTCCTTGAAGACGACGAGGTTCTCTCTGTCTCTGTCTCTGTCTCTGTCTCTATCTCTCTGACGTATCTCAAGCTAATATTACATTCTCATTCTTAATAAAATGTCCGAAGGACGAAACCATGCATTCCAGGGCGGATTTGGAGGCCTTCCAGGCTGCCCTGAATAAGGACATAGAAGGAGATGTGTCTGCTTCCCAGCCGTCTGATTCAGACACCGGTATCCTTCTTAACCTTTTTTTTATTATTCACATAACTAAGTCGACATTAATCATTGACCCATTGCAGATTACTCTGTGGAACTTGGTTAGAACTATTAATTTTGAGAATTACATAACTTTGGTGTTTTTTATTTGTTTAATTTGGGAAAGCACAAGCCGTCTGGATGCAATAACTTAATGTGATTTTGATGTATATTTTTTCGAACATATAGGTGAGGCGTTGCTTTGGTTGGTTGGTGTTTATATGTATATAGTTTATCATAATCATGCTGAGCATGTTTTCACTAAAAATTTGGTTAATATTCACTTCCACTATTTCTTTTGAAAAGATTCCAAAATTTGGAGACCAGTTAATTCTGTGTGCAAGTAGTCACAACTTGCCGTCTTTACTTTGCTGATTATTTTTCTATTATTTATTTATTTATTTATTTATTTTTTTCTTCCTCTCTTAGGGATTTTTAATTGAAATGGATCATTTTCATCTCTCATGCCTTTGTCTAGTTGGGTTGATCACTTGAGTACTTATCTTCCATTCTTTTCTATTATGATAAATATCTCCAATCCCCCTGAATTATATTTCGTGTCCCATATTAGTCCCCAACTTATCTTAACATCCTAAATTATCAATCACGTGTTTAGTTTGTGCAACTCGTAGATTCTGCTAATATTTTAACAGAAGTGGCCATTTGAGTATCATAAACCACTTAGTGAAGGGCAAATTTGTCAGTCTAACTAAATTTGTACTCAAGACTACTCATAGCTCTTCTTCAACTTATCTGCCTTCTCTTCCATCATTACTGATCCTACAATATCACAAGTGATCATCATCATCTATTTTTCCTCAATTTTGCATTATTGATCCTAAAATACCAGAAGTGTTTTGAAATGAACGTATCTTTGATTCATTGTTTGTCAAAGGATCTATTTTTCATTTCAACCATAAAGAGTGGCATTCCAACAATTTATGAAAAGCTGTTAAAGTGTGAAGCCCTTAATCATGTATTTTTTACTTCATTTTGCTTTATATGCTATCAGAAGAGGTTTGAAATGAATGTATCTTTTATTTATTCATTGTCAGAGGCTATATTCAATTACCTTAAAAAGTAACTTCCCACCAATGTATGAAAGTTTGTTAAGTGTCAAGCCCTTAATCCCTAGTTGTCTTTGGGTTCGTAACTAGAAATCCTCGATTATACATGATGTGTGCAACTATGTGATGCAGCGGTTTTGTCTCAAGGAAGCAATAATACTTCTAGTCAGTCATTACTGCAGTTGAGTACTGCTAGCCAGGATGAAAATACAGCTGGTCAAATTCAACAAGACCAAAAAATTGCACAACATCAGGAACTGCATTTGTATGAAATGGAACCAAAGCAACAAGGATCCGTTGCTGAGAATATGCAACAAAAAAATGATGCCTCACAGGTACTTAATCACTTTCCTTTACCCCAGAAGCGACCGCATGGTGATCTTCAAGAAGGACAGGCAGAACAGAAGCCAATCCAGATTCCTGAAACAACTGGAATGCTGATTTCTGAAAAACACCCCAGCTCAACAGAGGAGCATGGCATAGCACCTAATCTCAAAAGCGAATCTCAGTACTTAAAGCTTCAGAAGATGAGCAGTCAACAATCAATGATCACAGAGCAGCCAAGAAGCCCTTCGAATGAAAGCAGACAAGTACCATTTTACCAGTTATATCCCCTCTTATTGCCCCAACTAAATAAAGACAGAGGCAGGCAACTTACTACTCTATTTGGTAGACTCAAGGTGAATCCTACACACATTTTATATCAAGATGTTGTGGATTTTGTTAATTTTTCTGATCTGTGCACTTTTTTTGCTATTCTAGAGCCGTCAAATCCGCAAAGATGCTTTTGTCAGGGAACTTAAAAGTATTGTTGGGGATGAGATGCTCAGAATGGCAGTAAAGGAAGTGCCACTAATGGTAAGTATATAATGAATTCAATACTCTTTTAAATTAATAACGTGCTGATGTCTGGACCAAGCTGAAAACCTGCTTATTAAAATCTTGCAGCCTAGTCCTAAACATCAGTTACTACCTAAGGCCTCGGTCCAGCAACAACCTCCAAGGATGCTATCTATTAGTGCAAGTGCCACACAGTTGACTAACCCTCGTTCATCTGCACTTCATCTGAGAGGTCCCAATTCTGCCACTGACCCATCACACAGTCTCCCTTCAACAGTTCAGGTACAGACTGATTCAAGCCATCCGCTCATTAAAAATAGTGCTAGAAAATTGCCAGAAGCAGAATGTCACTCAGATTCTGAGGGAATGCAAGTAAGTCAAATTTCTTCCTCTAGTGTGGTAACTACCAATCAAGAAAGGGAGTGCTTCTCAGTTCCTATGCATGGAAACGCTGGTCGTACTTGTCACCTGTTTTCAGGGACAAATGTCAATACTTGCGCATTGCCTGTCAAACCGCAGCCTTCTGATGCACAACTGAGACAAGTCCTACAACATCAAAGCATGGGTTCTGCTCAGTCAGGTGGGGAAGCACATGGAGCGAGCATCATGAGTGGGTCCAAAACGGAGAGGCAAAATTCTATGAATGAACCTAGTAGACTGCAAGGTGGATCTCTTATTCACATTACAACTAATGCAACTTTACGACAGAATCCTAATCCTTCGCAATCCTCAAATAAAGGGCAGAGTTCCCGTCCTGTGTCATCAATGGCTTATGTCAAACAGGAATCGATTGATCAGACTGCTGAGCAGCAGCACAAGCCTCCATTGCCTAGTTCACATGGATTGCCTTCGGTTTCTGCTGGAGTACTTGAACAGGGAAATGCATCATCTGTAATTTCAATGGATGAGTCCTTAGAGAAGCAGCCTTCTAGAATGGGTGTTTCATCATCGCCTTCTACAATCACAGTGCCTCAAAGTTCGGTGTCTCCTTCCGTCATGATGCAAGTCAATCCTAGTGTCTCGGTAATTTCATTCATCTCATCTCTGCTTCTCTTTTACATATGCATTTGTGAGGTCACGATGGAGACTTCCTACGTTTTTACTTATGTTTTCTGAAGAGAAGTACTCTATTGAGAACTAATTATAGAACTACATACATGAGAGTGGCTACTTCTATGTTGGTGCTCTTTTGCAATTATGGTAAAACAGGAGGTATCCATTTTGTGTCTTTATCTCCTGTAATTCGTATCCACTTTCTCATGACTCACAAGATGATACGAAACATAACAGGTTTGGGAGGTGCATTTGATCATTAATTAGTAACAATGCTCCTTGTTTCTTCATTATATTGTTTTGTTGTGCCTCTCAAATGTAACTTAAATAAATGGATGAGCTAGTTTCATGTTGGATCTACCTTTTCCAGTTTACTTTGTCCTGCAATATATTTGTCTTTGAAAGTCAATTTTCACTTGGCATGAATATGATTATTTTTTACTTTATTAATGACTAATGTCTTTTCTGCTTTGTTTCATACCAGTTAGGCCCTCGGATAATGTCTGGAACCTCCCCTTGTGGGATTAATAATAAAACACCTCCAAAAAAGCCTTCTATTGGCCGAAAGAAGCCGCTTGAAGCACTTGGTTCTTCACCACCGCAATCAAGGTAAAATAAGTTTATATTGTTGCATCACAGTCTGTTAATCATTTCAATCTCTTCTTCCTTATAACTTTCTTATGTTCTGGGTCTCCTCAGTAAGAAGCAAAAAGTAAGTGTAGCGTTTTCGGATATTGAACAACTCAATGATGTCACTGCTGTCAGTGGAGTTAATCTTAGGGTACGGTATTTGTTATTTTCAATTCCTATTCTGGAGTATTAGCTAATTAAGTGAAGAGTGGACACTTTGTAGTAAATTTGTTCAGAACCCACTGACATTTTTGATAAAATAGGAAGAGGAAGAGCAGCTGTTTCCAGGGCCCAAGGAGGATAGTCGAGCTTCAGAAGCCTCTCGAAAATCTGTGCAAGAAGAAGAGGAAAGGCTGATTTTGGAGAAGGCTCCACTGCAGAAAAAATTAGCCCAAATTAGTTAATACTCTTTACTTATCTATTTATCATAGAGGTGTTAAAATTCCATCTTTCTATTTTTATTTTATTGTTTTATTTTTTACACTTTGTTCCTGTCATGAAAAGAAATATCAAACAGAAATTGATATCTGGTATTTATACATGTGTTTTTGGCAGTGGTCAAATGTGGTCTGAAAAGTGTAACCCATGACGTGGAGCGATGCTTGTCACTGGTGAGGTGCTAGCTACCATGTTCTTTGTTATTGCGATAAACTTACATGTTATCTTATTCCATGCCAACTGAACTCTTCAGTGTGTGGAGGAAAGAATGAGGGGACTAATAAATAATTTAATCCGACTGTCAAAGCAGGTTTGTTTGTTTCTATTTTTTGCTCCTGCTGAACAAGAATTCTCGTGCATTATATATCTCCTGACTTCGATTGAATATCCTTGTGCTAGCGGGTTGATGCTGAGAAATCAAGACACCACACTATTACTAACTCTGATGTTCGGCAACAAATTATGGATCTCAATCAGAAAGCTAGGGAAGAATGGGAGAAAAAGCAGGCTGAGGCAGAAAAGATCCGGAGGCTTAATGAGGTTAGTGTCATTTAAGCATTGTATATTATATTTGTACAATGCCCATATGGGTGAGCTACAAGTGTATGTGTGTGTTAATAGCCTGAGGTTGACAATGGAGTCGATGGAGACGAGGAGAAGGATGAAGGCCGTCCTAAATCATTTAAGGTATGAGGATTCCAGTCAGTCTGATTTTTTCACTTCTGAAACGAATAGAGCTTTTAGTCTTCTGTGGCTTTCTGCTCGGTGCAGACAAACATAGAGGCAGATGGAAAACTGAGGACAACAGCAGCAAATGTTGCTGCCCGTGCTGCAGTTGGGGGAGACGACATGTTCTCAAAATGGCAACTCATGGCACAAGCCCGGCAAAAACGTGAAGGTGAGATTGATGCGGCATCTGGGTCCCAGCCAGGTAAAGATGTAAACCACAAACCTACATCAACAACTGGAAGGATCATGAAGGGCAGTCAAGAAGCAGAGAAAAGGGGTGATCCGGCTCATGTTGCTACAGCCGGTAAGTATCATTAAGCCTGATCGTTTGTCAAATCATGATTTTGTAGCCATATGTCAGTACCATTAGATATCATTACTGCTTACCAAACAAAGATTCAAATGTATTAAAGAATATGACACTGTAGTTGGCACCTTGGTGTATTGCTGATTTTGAAAATTGGATTAGCTAAGGCGATTTACTATGAGATTAATGGTAGGAGAGATTTTATCGGCATGAGTAACATACTACAACTTCTCATTTCATATAATTGGCTGAGTTGGTATATATTCAATTACACTTAAAATGTTATCCTTGAATATTGATGCAATTAGACTACGAAGTGCCATGTACTAGTTCTCAGATTCTGATAATTATTGCTGGTCTCATTTGAGAATTCAACTTCTGTATACAATTTCTTGGAGTGAGCAACAAATTGGCTTGCCAGCTGTAATTTGTAAATCATTTGTTACTCTCTGAAGCTAAAACAGGGCAGGTGTAGCTTCTACCGAGGAGCACCTTTATTTTGGTTAGATGAACATAACCATCCTTCTGATGCTTTACCCAGACATGTTACTTTTTTATGATACAGCCCCATTTAATTTATTTTTGTTCGCAATGCCCATTAGGGTGCTAGCACTGTTATAAATTTTTGTTTACGAAAAATCATATATATATATATTGGTCGTAATTTGCTTTTTCTTCCTTTTTTTTTTTTTTTTTTTTTTTTTCGGGAAAATACCCCTTTGCTATCCAGTTTTACAATCCATATTTTGGTATTACAATCACATTTCTACTTGCAACCAACAGCTTTGGTGGAGAAGTATACCATAGTTATTTTGGCAGGGTGTTTATTGAAGAAGTTATCTCTGGCAATATTTTACTATTTGGTGCTTTGTTAGTCGAAAATTGTTTATTTATTTGTATTTTTTTTTGGACAGGGCCAATTAGAAAATCTGGAAGGAACCAAGTTATCATGCCTCAAACAAGGATGGCTCGTACTATATCCGTCAAGGATATGATTGCTGCCTTGGAAAGGGAACCTCAGATGTCGAAGTCTATGTTGATATATCGGTTGCATGAGAGAATCCAATCCTAGACACCACTGTGGAATAGTCTTAAAGTAAAAAAGAAAAGAAAAAAACAAACAATGAGATCGTAGTCATCGTTGGCCTCAGAATCTTCTTGTGAAAATGATAAAAAGAGAGAATGGTAGAGACGATCATTAGTTGTACTTTGTGCAGCATCTCTTACGAACTGTTACTTGTGATATTCATGTTTGCCACATAACATAGCAGCTTCCTCCAGTGGCAGTAATACTAAGCCAGGAGAAAGGGATGAAATAGTCCATTATCTGAGATAATGGTAATATCTGAAGGATTCTGATGGCCTTATTGTTTGTTAGTGTGGGTGGTAGGAGGCAGGAGTAAATAATCAATTGTTTGTGCTGGTTGAGGGCTCGCCATTTAGTTGCAGGGCTCATATCTCGGTTGTTGCTGCTGCTATGTCGACATTATCGGGACCTCTTATTTGGTTCAATAATCAAACCCTCCATGTTGACCATTTCTCTTCATACAGGCTAAGACAGACTTGGAACTTTGTGGCCTTTAATATTTTCATAAAAAATAAACTATCTCCGTGGCGAACCGACTCAATTCGATGAATTTCGAAACACACTCTGCAATTGACATCTTTCCTTGCACAAGCTCAAGCAACTCTTTGATCTTTGTACGTTGCATGACACTATCAATCATAAAAAATGCCCTCCTAGTGTTTAAATGTATCCCACCATCTATTGGCTTCATCCTCTAGCACATGGATAGCTCACGAACATTGTTATAATGGTGGTGCATTTAGATAATCTAGCTTCTTTTTGGATATGCTTAATCAAACTTCAACATTGTCTGGTTCAGAACTTCCATAAAATCTTCTCAGTTTCATTTTCATAAACTAGTCCAAATACTATGGTGTGCATGAGGTTGTTTTCGAGGCTGACATCTTGTCAACAATTCAGGAAAATGAAAGCCAAGACTCAATTAGTACTTGGAAGATACAATTTTTAAGAATTATAGAACAAGAAACTGAATCCGAAAGTAGAGCATGTTCGATAGACATGGAGTCACAAAGAATGGGATGAGCATGCCAAGTTCATTACTTTAAGTCTAGCTAAGATTTTGTCTTGTGCATTGTTTTTCTTACTATACATGCATAGGTATTTATCTTACTTTCGAACTTAGTCAAGGAACTCCTTAAGAATCTTGCCTTACTTTATAGTTTTAGGTTGGCATTATAATTTTGGGAGAAACACTTGCGTAACACGGAATAGTATTGTTCTGCTATTCTCTGTTAATTGCGACATCTTACATGTGATAACTTTTCCATGTTGCAGTCTATAATTGATTGAGGGATAGCAAAATAGTACTATCGTCATTTCATACAAAATTTTCTGCCATTTTGGGGTATTACATTTCTATTACTTAAGATTTTGTTGTCAGTTTATTTGTGGGATGTCACTTGTTTATTGTTTCATGCAGAATTTGCATATCAAATTGTATGGCTAAACATCACATTTGTGTACCTTAAAATGACCACCACCAATTTTTTGTCCCTTAAAATGAAGACAACCAATCCATTTTTGTTGTGCCATCACATGCGTACCCTGTAATAATTGTACCTAAGTATAAATATCTCTTTCACAAACACATGCCACACCTTGACATTAAACAAAATTGTACCTCCATTTCCATGTATGACAGAAAAGCACTAATTCACACAATTTTTTGTTTTTTTTTGGGAAAACCAAATTACAAAGAAGATCCTCTACGGATCTTTAAACAAAATTGTACCACCACTTCCATGTAGCTGGCATGGCATGAAAGAGATGTTGTAAATATGTGGATGGCCCACAACTATTAGGATGAAGACTTTTGTGTATTATAGGCATAGTGTAAAATATCGATAGTTGTCACGCCCCAGACTTGGGGGTCGGTGGAAATCCCGCGTCCGGTGCGTAAGAAAATAAAATAAAATAAAAAGCAGCCGAAACATAAAATAAACTTTTCTTATAAAAAAAAAATAGATCCCAAAATCTTACAACTTTACATGAAATAAATAAATAAATAAAGCTCTATCACTCTCATCTAATTCATCCTCAACTGATTTAGTCCTTGTCTTGCCCACTAATTCATCTGAAAAATTAAACATGGTGAGGGATGAGCAATCACCGCTCAGTAGGGACATGAGACCTTACCACAGTAGATTGATATAACTAAATTAAGTGACATGCAATCACACAGCCAAATATCAAATTATTAATAATACATGAATGAATGAATGTTCTTCATCTACTCCCATTAATTCATATAACTGGACAAGTAGACCTGCACGTCCCATACCATGCTTATACCACTTGGTCCCGAATGCCCATTTATATGACTCTTCATCTACTCCCGTTAATTCATATAACTGGACAAGTAGACCTGCACGTCCCAAACCATGCTTATACCACTTGGTCCCGAATGCCCATTTATATGAACTAACACCCATCTCAATCATCCCATAATTTCCCCTTTTGTTAGTCATCTTGTCTAACTCCCTTTCGCCAGTCCCGAATCACCCAATATGTTAGTCATCTTGTCTAACTCCTTTTCGCCAGTCCCGAATCAACCAATAAAAACCATGTGCACTGTGGGATCCCTGAGACCTGGTACCTACCAAGAGTTAGACTCAACTACACAAAAGATCCTTCCCATTACCCTATTTTCCATCATTATTTTCTCTATCAACCCAAGAACTCCAACCAATTTCCATGATATGATATAATTATGCCTTTCAAATAATAATATCATGCATAATATAGTGTTCATGAAATTTAATTAGATCAATCCTCGTAAAGTTTCTCTATCAACCCAAGAACTCCAACCAATTTCCATGACATGATATAATTATGCCTTTCAAATAATAATATCATGCATAATATAGTGTTCATGAAATTTAATTAGATCAATCCTCGTAAAGGCATCCCAAGAAATCCCTACCTTGATTCCAAAACATTGCTCCAAGTTAAGAAAATACAAGCTAAACCCCAAATCTCCTCCAAGAATCACCTCTCTCTCTCTCTCTCTCTCTCTCTCAATTTCTTTTCTAATTTCTCAAATTTTGAAATTATAAGGTTATGCTCCTATTTATAGTGTTTATATAGGGATAGGATAAACTTAAATATTAAAAGGATAAGAACATCCAAGTTTATCCAAAAGATAAATATCTTAAAAAGATAATATTGTCCAAGTTTATCCAAAAGATAAATATCTTAAAAAGATAATATCATTCAAGTTTATCCAAAAGATAAATATATTCTTTTATCCTTTTAAAATACAAGTCTTCACAATAGTATCGACGAAATATCGAGGATATTATCGTTTTTTCGAGTCATGGATGGATATTTCGGAACATATCCATACACATGTCGTATAAATATCGATAATATCGGAAAATATCGATGTCGATAATTTCACTCACACTTCAGCAATTTTTTGTCAAAATATTGCTATAATATCGAAAATATCAATGTAATGGAAAAAATGAAAAAAAACAAAACAAAAAACACACAAAGTACACATGCAAAGGGGATTCGAAACCCTTCCATTTCACTCCTACAATGCCTTAACCACCATGTTGCTTATGTTTTTGTGATAATACCCAAAAGGGAACTCTATGTGGTACTAAGTCACTCATGTATTATGCAATGTATAAAGTGTAAAATGTTATAGTAAATCATTATATATAAATGATTATGGTGTGTTTAATCTTCTTTCATTTATTACTATATATTTTCTACACTCACAGTGTTTGTCAACTCGCTATATAATCAACTTAAATCAGTTAAACTCATCATGCAATGCATTTCCTTCCAATTTTTGTGATAAACTAATAGATAATTGACTAAATAAATATTCTCCAAAGTTTCAATAAAAATTTCCAAGTTTTTCTTATAATTTCCATGGTTTTTATTAAATTTTTATCGATATCGATAATATCCCGATATTTCTATCAAAATTTCTGTGTTTTTGGATTACTGATATTTCCGATACCATCGATATTTTAGACTTTGATTATAGGTGAAAGTGAAAATACTAGAATTAAGGCAGTGTAGAAAATGTTTACAACACCCGGTGAATTGCTTATCAAATTCATTGCGGTAGCTGTAAATTTTCCCTATAAAAGCATTCCTGAGCTAATGAAGCCAGACACACCAATCAGAAGAGAAAAAGTGAGAGAAAAATCAGAGATACACATGTCGTATAAATATCGATAATATCGGAAAATATCGATGTCGATAATTTCACTCACACTTCAGCAATATTTTGTCAAAATATTGCTATAATATCGAAAATATCAATGTAATGGAAAAAATGAAAAAAAACAAAACAAAAAACACACAAAGTACACATGCAAAGGGGATTCGAAACCCTTCCATTTCACTCCTACAATGCCTTAACCACCATGTTGCTTATGTTTTTGTGATAATACCCAAAAGGGAACTCTATGTGGTACTAAGTCACTCATGTATTATGCAATGTATAAAGTGTAAAATGTTATAGTAAATCATTATATATAAATGATTATGGTGTGTTTAATCTTCTTTCATTTATTACTACATATTTTCTACACTCACAGTGTTTGTCAACTCGCTATATAATCAACTTAAATCAGTTAAACTCATCATGCAATGCATTTCCTTCCAATTTTTGTGATAAACTAATAGATAATTGACTAAATAAATATTCTCCAAAGTTTCAATAAAAATTTCCAAGTTTTTCTTATAATTTCCATGGTTTTTATTAAATTTTTATCGATATCGATAATATCCCGATATTTCTATCAAAATTTTTGTGTTTTTGGATTACTGATATTTCCGATACCATCGATATTTTAGACTTTGATTATAGGTGAAAGTGAAAATACTAGAGTTAAGGCAGTGTAGAAAATGTTTACAACACCCGGTGAATTGCTTATCAAATTCATTGCGGTAGCTGTAAATTTTCCCTATAAAAGCATTCCTGAGCTAATGAAGCCAGACACACCAATCAGAAGAGAAAAAGTGAGAGAAAAATCAGAGAGTTAAAAAAATTTATCCGAGAGAGAAAATTCTATCTGTAATACCACAACAGCAAATACAATCTCACCCTAATATTCACTAGTACTTTTAGACTTTGTCTATTTC